CCGGTCAACCGGGATCCGGTTTCCCCGTCAGGTCAGTCCGGTTTCCCGGTTGTCGGTGAACCGGGAGACCGGGCTGACCGGGAAACCGGGAAACCGGGATGCTGCCCGGTCAGGATCCGGTCACCCGGGCGGCGCCATGCTCAATTTTGAAGTGGTGGGCTTTGGGTTTAGGGGTTTACCTGGGAAGCCTGGTGTATCTTGAAAACATGCAACTGAAGATAGTGATGTGAATGCCCGCCACTGCCGAATGTAGCCTTATGGCTCCTGCTACATATGGCATCATCATCAGATCAATCTTGAATCTTCCATAATAGAATTTGAAAACCTTTCTAACTTCCCACAACAAACCATCAACATCAACCCGTGGCTGCCTCCGGGGCATGGCGATTGCTGCTGCAGGACTCTTTGGGATTATAGGTCTTGGGATGGGTTTTGGGTTGGGTTTCTTATCGCAAGCACGAGCACACATATGTATTTCATCACCATCGCAGTGCCAAGTTGAGGAGGTATCTCTGTATGGTGCGCTCATGCACCTTTCTTATGGAAACGTGACGCGATTGATGCGCTACGCGCCCCACAAAGTCCTCGTCTAATTGACACGCATATGCCAAAATGTTAATGGAGTAGTGGCCTTCTCTTGAAGACCTCCTCATGGCGTGGCATATGTGACAGAATAGATGAAATTTCGGCATCACTTTGAACCTGGGGAGGCTCTTTTCAAGCGACCAAATTGCCAATTGGTTGAGGTTCCGAAGGAAAGTCATACCTAGACGCGAAACACGGTCAGCCTCATCTGGGCTCACCCAAAGTGGCAAGTGATAAACAGCACTCATAAAGCCATTGATCGCAACAAGACCATCGTAGATGGCTTCGCATTGGGATTCCATATCATCATCGCAATCAGCAAGCAGTCGTTCGTAGCGATGCTGCAGGTAACCAGCAAGGATCGTAGTGTCAGCTCCCTTGAACCATCGCCTTCAGTGCTTATAACCCCAACCCTTCAGAAGCAAACCTGAAGCCTACAAAACGTAAAACATATAGACCATAAATCAAAGTGACGCAGCTGGAAAATCAGCCATCGTGTCCATCCCCAGTTGATCTTTGGTTAGGGCTGTCATATGGAGATATTGTCCACATTGTGCACACCATTGCTTTGCCGAAGTGTGAAACTCTTCCAAACGTTTCGTGAAAGAGCCAGTGCCCAGAACGTTATAATCAGCCAATGTCACCTGAGGGGTTTAGGATATAAGCAGCCTAGCAAAAGTCAGCCCACACAGGAAACAAGGAAAAAATTACCCACATAGCTGGACAGCAATGGCCGACGCCACGAAATCACCAACCACTCCCTTGTGAGAAACATGGAACAAATCGATGGCATAGAAGGAAGCCAAATTGTTTGGGTCTTGTGGTATCCCTGATAAGGGCGAAGGTGTAGTCCAGGGCAGCGGTGAGTCTGCATGGAGCCAGGCCGCATCATTTTCAAAGGAATTCCATTCATAGTTGGGTTGGCCTGCCCTGCATAAGTGACAAATCCCTGGAGCATCAGGTGCTGTAGAGTCCCGCATGAAACTTCTCACCAGTCGGCCAGCCTTGACCAATGCCGGCCAATCGCCTTTGGCAGCAATGAACACTGGAAACAATTTCGGGCAGCCAGGAACGCCCGTAACCGTGATGCCATTGTAATAGCAGTCAGTAAGATCTTGTGCCCATGCTTCCAGAAGCCTATACAGCACGGCCTTTGTTTTGGTGTAAGTTCGCCCCAGCAGAACTGAAAACAAAAGCCGAGACAGATACGTACTCCCGAGAAAGTTGTGACCAGGTGCACGCTTAGAGCCCTTGCCACACACCATTTGTGTGGACAATATCATCAAGGATTTCTTCTTGTGGCTTGTCCCCTCGTCAAGGTGCAACATCATTGGGATACAAGCTGACAATCGGCCGTTATGAGTTTTGTAAACATCATGCCCCGGGTGTTCCTTTTGATATAGAGACCAAAAGCGTTTCAGCTCTGCAGGGCCATTTCCAGCCAGAAAAACTTCATGAACTTTGCCAGCTTTATCCAGCGCTGTCACCAAGTCCCGTAGGCATACCATTGGGTGCGTCTTCTTCAAACCAATGTCCCTGTAGGTTACTGGTACATCCGCTTGCAACCCATGTTCGAGGAAAACTTTGGGAAGCCTGTTTGAATGACCAGTAGAATGAAGCCGTGCCGCTTTGTTAAGAAATTCCGAAGAGTCAATGCGATTGCTGTCTCCCAGCTCTTTGTGCATAGCAGCCGCCATTTTGCAAGCGTGTTTCTCACTGACCTTACTATCCAAAGTGTACCTACTTCCTACCATGAAACAGGGGCTATATACATATACATACTATGGCCACCAAAAACCCCTTGAACACTTACAACAGAAATACAAAATAATGATAAAACGACAAGTCCACTCCTTCTGCAACACATTCCCCAATAGATCTGGCCACAGGACCAGCCATTTTTTGTCGCTTTGCCGATGGACCTGCGCTTGTTTCTCGGACAATTTGATTCAGACATTGGAGGGGCACAGCATGTATAGAGCTTGTACATTGCATTTTGGGCTTGGCATGCTGTGTCACGACACATGCTTTGCAAATGGCATTGCCAAACGTAACCCTTGCTGAGAGGGTTGACACAACCAGGAGCTCCAACTTGTGACAGATATACACTTGTTGTACCCCCTCTCCCCTCCTGAAGGGCCACCTAAAAGTACATCCATTAATCCCATTTCTTATGGTGGTTGCTTCCTGTCCTACTGGAACTGCATGCAGCCAAGGCTGCCCAGTCGATCCTACCCATCCAATGGCCGAGACTGGTTCAAGAAGTTAAGGGTGATCCCGGGGCATTATAAAGATTTGGTTCTATTCAGCCAGGGTCATCGGTTCTGGGAAAGGATCATGGAAAATCACTTACCTGGTTTCCTGCCCTTCGCCTTGGGCTTGGTCAGGGTTTTCTTAGGCTTAGGGCTAGGGGAGGGTCCCTTCTTCGCAGCGGGGGTCGGCTTCTCACTTTTCTCAGACTCGGCAGGCTTCTTGTCGGGCTTCAGCAAGGTCCTGGCAGGTTTACAGGGTATACAGGTCTGTAAATATGGGATTGTAAGTCCCAAGCCTCCGGAGCTTGGTCTCTTCCATGACAAACAAAGCACACCTGGGGTATAACTACATTACATAGGGCTAGGTGGGTCAAGAAGTCTTTGATTTCAGTGGAGGGGCGTTTTCTCAGTCTCAGAGATCACCGTCTTCAATGCCTGGAGCTGCCTCAAATAGTACATCACACACACACTGCTGAGCTTTGAAGCTGAACGCGCATGAAGCATATAACATGATACAAGGCACCCTTTGTCAATCGATTTTTTGTTGGCAACGTAGGTGGCTTTGATCTCCGCAATCTGATCGTGGTACTTTGCCAACTTCGCCCCATACGAATTGATAGTCGACAAGGCCCTTAGATAGATAGGACACAAGAATTGTTGAGCCTCCATACCCGGCTTGAACCCTTATATAATTCTAACCAAAGACCCCTAAAGAGGCTAAAGTTGGAAAGGGATTCCACAACAAACCTGGAGTGCAGCGAAAGCTCTCCGCAGCAAGCTTTCCGGACTTCTCCTCTAACTTCTCCCTGCATGCCCCCACCTTGCCCTGAAGCTTCAGGATCTGGCCAAGTATCTCCCCGGCATTTTCGATTGCCTGAGGCAACTGGGAAGGGCAAGGATTCATGGTCCATAATCTTAAGCGAAAAGTAAGGGTCTCGCTTCCGAAGCCTTATAATGAGTTCCCCATAAAATAGGTGGTTTAAAACGAAAGCCATCAAAAGAACAATACTATTATAAATGGAAGAAGGACTGCGCAAGGAGGAAATCTTGCACGACATTATAAAACTATATACCCTATACCTATAAAAATAGCATCATTTTACGGGGAGGCCTTGATGCAAGGTTTCCTCTGTGCGCTTTAGTACAGGTATTCGACCAGGTTGCTTCCGTGGGGCATTCAACTTCAAGGTCTCTCTTCGGGGTGCTTAGGGTGCTTCCCGGGGATAGCTCACTCTTCTTCGTCTTCTTGGACGTCTTGCCCTTCTTTGCCTTAGCCTTCTTCTTGCTCGTCTTTCCCTTCTTTTTTCCCTTCTTGGGCGTGCATGTTTCCCCACTCCCACTCTCGCTTGCATCACTCTCACCAGAGCTGCTGCTGGAATCATGCGCAGCTTCAATTTCAGGAATCTGTGGGACTCCATCATCCTTCGGGGCTGGCATGCTGGCCATAATCTTTTCCTGCCACATTTCCTTCTGCAACAGCTTCAGCTGCCCTCGAGTCATTTCCTCGACCCAATATTCGTAGACGGACTTCTCGTATTTGTCGCGCCTTTGGGGCAGGATTAGGGTTTGCTTGTCAAAGTGCGTTTTTTGTTAAAATAACTTTTCTAGGCCTCCGGTGGCTGGCCACCCTGTCAGGGTGGGAGCAGTAGGCGACCACACTGGCGATGCGGCTCCTAGACCATGTTGGAACACCATCAGGCCATTTTAAAGACACTTTTGAGGCCCCAGCTTAGAAAACTTCAGCTCCGTGCGCATTTTCTCTTTGCTGAACCAACCACATGTCACAGTGAGTTCGTTCGACTTCTCTTTCCGGATGGCATACTCGACAAGCCGCGTCCAATCCTCCTGCTTGGAAAACGGATTAGAAGGGTATGACATTGGTAAGCTTCCGCTCGCCTTCCACCCAACTTCCAGTCAAGAGGTTATATATTGGTTACATGTTCAAGGCAGTCCTTGTTCCCATGACACTTGCACATCATCCTGATCAAGTCTTTGCGGGGTCCACCTTTGGCATCCCATCGTTTCAGGATCTCAGGGCTGGCTGCGATGCTCTTTGAGCGCTTCGAAGGAGTAACCATTCGCCGGATTTTGGCTTCGCATCTTCTCCACTCGTTAGAGCCCTCCTGAAAACAAATCACAGAGCCCCTTAGCCCCCATCAACCCACGCAGGCGTTGGCCTATACGCTGCTGCCTCTACCGACTTCTCGTCGTCGTCAGCATCATCTGCATCATTCTTCAGCGGCTCTGCGGGAGCTGCCCCATCAACATCCAGCTCAGCCTGGCAGGGACTTTACTGCAAAACATCGCACAGGATATGCTGTTCACACAGTTAGTCAGAAGAGCATGAGGACAGTGCACATGTGGGCAGCTCATGGCATGTCGGAATCAGTGCATGACTGAGAAGATGGCAAACATGTCCCTGATGTAAGATCCAGCCTTGAAAAATGACTCCAGCATGCAATCATCTACGGCGGCATCATCATCATCATCATCATCATCTGCGGTGAGATCCTGCAGCCAAGGCATGGCAGAATGGCGTGAGATTACTGGGGCAGGAGCTCTGGCCAGTTCTAGCAGGGCATGCTGGAATGTTCCCCTTGGGTAGGAGCTAGTGAGGGTTGTGGCAAGGTTAGCAACTCCCATTGCAAGCGCAGTCCTGGTAAGGGTCACCTTGCGCATTCTTCTTCACGGACTCCGGGGTGGGCTTTTCAGCTTTTACCGATTGACTTTTGGGAGATGGCATAGGAGAAGCAGTCTTCTTCGGACGTGGCATTTTCAGCATCTCTAGGCGTCGCTTTGCAGCCTCAACATGATCTACATGAAGGCTAAAGGACTCATTTACACGCATGTTCCCAAAAAAACATTTAGAAGGCCAGGAAACTATGATCTTGTCTGCCATTGACATGTTCTCGTCTAGCGCAAACTTTTGCGTTTCCATCATTGATTGGCCACGCAGGAGGGTGTTGCACGACCACTGCTTTGATTTCAACCGCGGTGGCTCTTCTGAAGAAGCCATTTGGGAATTAGGGGGCTTAGAAGGGTAAAACACCTTCAGCTTGGGCCAGGAACCTTTCCAAGCAAGCTCATAACCCTAAAAAGCACATGATGAACATGAGTTTTACATCATGAGAAAGTGGCAGGAATATGCATAAATTATTTATGCTTTTGTACGCCACTTTCCTGCTTTTCTACGCCGCTGTACGTTTTAATTGCCACAGTGACTGAAATCCAGGTTTTCCCGAAAACCGACAAAATCAACAAATACCTTTGAAAATATCGAACATGATATATGAAAATGTCCTCAAGGTAATTAAGAAGCCCCTTGACCCAGAGGAAACGATACTCAGGCCCCAGCCCTCCAACCTTTTTGCGTGAACAGCGCCACAACTCCCTGCGGCCCTCTTGCCACAGTCTCCAAAAGCTTTCTCTACAGTAGCTGCACCTGTACTATGACATTTTAAGCGACATATTTCATATTCCATAAGGGGCCCCAAGCGGTTGCTGTTCTAACATCTATGGGATTTATGGGGTGCGTGTGACTATTGGCAGCACCGCCTTCCAATCCTCCGGCAAGTCTAAACCCTTTGCAGCTCTCAGGTACCCGATCACATCCATCATCTTGGCGTCGCTCCATAGATCTTGAAAGAGCTGCGGGTCCGCAAGGAGTTCTTTGGGGCCGCGGTTCTCAAAGGCCTGAAGGGTCTGGCGTAGGCTTACAGGTATTATGTTGGGGAATGCATGGTGGCTTGAGGCTACGCCTACATACAAACTTGTTTAGGGTCCTCCCCCCATGAGCTTGACATCCCATGTGTAAGGGTTTACTGGGTTCTCTTGTTGGTTTTTCCCAGTCCATGTCATAAAGGTCTCTGCATGGGGTCCTGGTCTAAGCCCCCAGTGGGGCAAAATCACAGATTGGGGTCCCAGTGCGCGCGCCCCCCCCCAAAAAAATCACAGATTGAGGGCTTTGCCAATGGGAAGAAGTCGAGGGTTTATAGATTTCGTATGGTTCAGGGGCTAGGAAATTTATGGGGGTCAAATTTGTGCAGAGTTCTTGCTTATTGGTGCTTATTATGGGGATGTTGGTAGGATTTCTTGACTGGCCTGTGTATTCAAGGGAGCTTGCTCAGCCAACAGTCGTGGAAACGCCCGTAGGAAGCGCAAACCAAAGCCCACCGGGTATCGCCTGTCCAACCCCAAAACAAAAGACATGGACAAGATTACCTGAACAGTGAAACTTCAATATGGTTCCAATACAAATGAGGCACCCAGAATTCTTCAAAGCTTTGGACTTCCCATCGAAACGTTTCTTTCCTGTTCTTGGGTCCACATAGGAAGTTGCGAGCTTGTGCTTCTGGAGTTTGGCCTTCACCTTCTGGGATAGGGGCTTGGCGCTTGTGAACTCCACAATGCCTGGGGAATTAGACCATAGCCGCATTCTCTTGGGGCTCCGGGCTCCAAATCTGGACATCCAGAATGAAGCACGATATACCTGATCAAAGGGGGGTTGTGAGCTGGGCATGCTATAGCCTGTTTGCCATGCCCGCGCAATCTCCGCCAAGGTGCTGTGCTAAGGCCCAATATCTGTTGCATGCGAGGGTGACGCCATACAATGGAACTAAGAGGCTGCTCTAGCACCCATGTTCCGGATTTCGAAAGTATGAGGTAGATTGCCAGGCACATCCTCCCAAGAATTCTTCGCTGAACAAGGTCAAAATCATGGCGCTAGGTACACACATATGATGACACAGAACCCTGCCTGGAGCAAAGTAAATTTGCATCTGCCACCGGTTTGCTGGTGCAATCCCCCAACGGATTGAAATATGATCTTTTGGTACTGTGACGGGATATTGTGACAAAAGTTGAGCACACCAGGCCGAAGGAGCACACGAAGTTGAAATGTTTCGCCTTCATGATGCTCAGCAGAAGAAGCCTGGGTCATGATTGGAATTCAGGGCTTATAAGGATTAAAGGGATACATTCAGGCTAGATCACGGTTTTGTTGGGATATTATACTTCCTCCCATGACTTCCTCCCTAATATAGTTATATATACATAGTGGGGCTTTTAACCAGGAAATGTAACCACCTGAGCACCATCCCGCCTTCAGTACCCTCATATTCTAAACCAGGACACGCCATGCCAGCAGGAGTGCAAAGGTCCATAGGATTCTTCATAGCCGGCAAGTTTCTTGCTTGCGCATATTCGTTCCAGAGGCCGATATCCAAGGATGCCACATTCAGTCCCCCCAACCTGAGACACCTGCTCAGCGTAGCAACGCCTGCGAATATTTCCAGTGCATCATACACCTGCCCAGAAAGAGGCAACAAGGCATCCGCATCCAAAGCACCAAATATACCCCTGAAGCAAAAATCTGTGCCTCATCCACATAGATGTCCCGGTTGAAGTAGATCAGCACCGTGGCATAGAGCAAAACCTGAGAGGACTCCATGGGAAGGTGCGGTTTATCAGGTTTTACACAGGCAATTTAGCTTAGGAACTCCTGGGGCGCCGAGGTAGTAAAGCCGCTGCAGGAGGATACGAAGATGATGGGGAGGCATGGCTGTAGCTAAGCTTGCCTTTTCCACTCCACTACCGGAATGACATCAACAAAACTGCTATGGCAAGAATGCTTTGCAAGCCTGCTACCGCTGCACAAGCTTCCACACTAAATCCTTGCAGGCACAGCTGGGGTGCACCTGGCGCCGCATCTTGGAATCGATGCCGAAGTCGCCACAAAGAGGTCATAGGGCATTGGCACCTGGCATTGCATTCAATGTGCTATCATGGGGATGCAGAAGCTTCAGGAAGCATCCACAAACCACTGGCAAAAGAATACATGCATCAGTTACATGAAGCCAAGTTTTGTCCGCATGCGAGCGATGCCCCCACTTGTGATGATTTGATCGTGCATGCTACGCATGCCTGAAACGTTCATGGCACAGGATCCGGAGGACATAGGCTAGCATGATCATGACAAGTGTGTGTAAAGAATTTGTATCTGCGTCGCAGACCATGCCAGCCAACTAAGTCCTTCCCCGCACCAAGCTGCAAGGATAGCTTGCCACCCAGGAATATCATTGTTGTACAAACCACGCAGATCCTACAGAGAATTGCCGAGACTGCACATGATCACAGCCAGCGCTGTGTGAACCAGCACCATGATAGGAAGGCTTCTGCAGCACACGCACTTGTGACCTTGTATTCTATTGGCAACACAGTCTTGCAGAAGCCTGGCTATCCCGACCCTTCGCCACACGCTACATGATTCCAGCGAATCCCACGGAAGCAGGGTCGCAGGCATGTCCAGCACCCAAGCACAGCCCACCTGCAGGTTGAGCATCCCAATATCAGGCTGCCATCTTCACTGTAGCCTGTGTAATTTCGGTCAGGCTTCAGTGGCTCTGACCCAGGCTTGTTCTTGCCATTCTTTGCCTTTGGGGCAGCCTTGGCCTTTGGCCTGCCAGGCTTCCCCTTTGCCTTGGCCTTTGCCTTCGCTTTCG